TTTTGCTAAGTGTAAATATGAAATGTGGAGTGAAATGAAGTCATGTATTCCCAGTCTCTTCTCAGCTTTGACTTAGACACATACGGGTCAATAAATCAAAATGCACATTGGGACTCATTAGGTCGCCTACCTTAAAATTGCGGGCTTGAACCTCTTATCGTGAGCCGATCTCATCCTCTGCTCATATGCTTCTGTCTCAACCTTTTCCTGGTCGTGGACCTCGTTCACCAAATCCAATGACTCATTATGCAACTTTTTGTTCTCTCATTTTTTTTAAGTGGAAAACCTCTATGAACTTAGGCCTACCTCAAATAGGATCACAACTTCCATTCTGTACACCATGTTACACGGAGTCTCTCCTGTCGCGGCCCTCGACACTGTCCTGTAACCCGCCATGATGGATCGAGCTCATTAACCCAAGCTCCCGAAGACCTTTTTAACCGCTCTGCTTCAATAAGTTTTGCACCTCCATCAGATACTTAAGCATCCGTTCTTCTTTAACCTCATGGTCTCACATAACCTGCTCGACCACAAGTTGAGAGTCTGATTGTAAAATTACTCGCTGAGCTCTCTCATTTGACATGAATTGAATTCTCTTTATCACGGCCTCATACTCTGCCTCATTGTTTGAGGCTCTAAAAGACAACACTATAGTGTCTCGAGGTGCTCTTGCTCGGTTGCCACGATCAATATTCCTAAGACTGCTCAACCAATCATCGAGAGCCATCTATGTACACCAACCACTGACTGACCTCCTTCTCCACCATCCATTCTTGTATAAAATCCAACAAAGTTGAGTCTTGATGGTTTCCCTGACTTCTAACCCTATATTGTACTCTCTTTCAACATCCCACTTCACCATCCTTCCTTAGGTCGAAGGTTGGCCTAAGATATCCTTCAACACATAATTAGTCCAGACCACGACCTTATGTGCCAAAAATTAAGGCCACAGCTTGTGCGCAGTTGATATGAGCACCAGTGCAGCCTCGTCAACCTTAGAGTACCTCTGCTCTCGGCCCTGCAGGATTCTTCTTGTGTAATAGATTAGCTTCTGTTAACCTCTTTCTTCATTCAGCAACACCAAGCTTATAGGTACTTTCCTATCAACAAGTATAGAAAAAGGTCATTCCTGGGCTTTGGCTTCGTGAGTAGCGGCAACTCTGCCAGAAACTCATTAACCCAATAAAGAGCTTGTTGGATTTGTAGTAGTTGGGTTTGTAGTAGTTGGGTTGTTGTTAAGGATAATTATAAATAGGTATGACTGCGCGTCGCAACGCGGCAAATTTAAGTTTATAATTTTTCTTTAACTAACTTCTACTAACTAGTAGTAGCTGCGAGTAAGGGTCGATCCCAAGAAGAGCAGGAATTAAATTGTGACAATTTCGTATTAATTGAACTAAAACTATGAAAGCGAATAAGGGGGGATTGATTTATAAAACTAAAAATAAAAATAAATAAAAATAGAAAAATCAAATAAAATGAGAGAAGTCCAGTTTTTGGTTCAGCTATCACCCAATCTAAATCTACCGTTAATCAATTTCGACGCCTTCTTTAAATTGCTAATGAATTACCGACCCTAGCTAACAACAAGCTATGTTAACCAAATTTTCCCTTACTGAATATTTAATCAAAATAGGCTCTTCGACTA